ATTTGTTTCTTAAAATTGTTTAATTTGTTTAGCCTCTTCGCAAACTCTTTGTATTCTTTGTTCATGTTGTACCATGTTGTAATATGCATTCGCATGATATCATGGTTCTAATAAACAGTCCCATGATATCATAGCTTCAATTCGATTAGTATAAAAGAAGGTATGCGTCTTCCATCAGATTCATTTAATCCTACGTTGCCAGTGCTTTATGATTACATTATGTTTCCAGTCTCCTTGATTACATTTGATTTGATTTGTTTCTTAGATTTGTTTAATTTGTTTAGTTCCTTCGAGTACATGTCTAATTAAATAAAAATCGCATATGCTCGGGTTTAATTACCCAAGTTTGAGGTAGTGCCAAAGACAAATCACGAAGAAATTGGAAGATCATAAGCCGAAAATAATCCCGTTATTGGCGTTACCTCAAGTACAGTGATTGAACTCGGAGTCCCGTTATCGAAGACTCATTATTGAATGTATCGGTTATGTGAACCGATGTAAAGGGATCACAAGTTATTCGTGTTAAAAGATTTGAATTCTGTTATTTGGACGTCACATGGAGAAGTGAGATTATTCGTATGTGCATCGAAACACGCATTCGCTGCTGTAGTTTATTTGAGAAGTACGAGGAAAGATAGCAATGACGGTGCATTAGTTTTTTCAAAAACACGGATGAAGCCGCTCAGAGACATTTCGATTCCAAGATTAGAATTGATGGCGTGTTTGATCGGAGTACGAGCACTAAATGTCGAAAAACAGTTACAAATAGACGGTTGCAAAAAATTCTTATGGTCCGACTCCAAATGTGCTCTGAGCTGGATTTCTACAAATCGGGCGCTACTAATTTTTATAACCAATAGTATAGTTTCTTTCATCTATAAGAATTTGTTAGTAGTAGATTAAATATGTAGTCGTGCTTGTTTAATTATGTAGGTTTAATTATCCAAGTTTGAGGCTTGGAGCAAGCGGACTGTAGTGGAATTATTGTGGAATTATCCTGTCGTGGAGTATTGTGGAATTGTATTGGTTGAAGAATAAATATTGTTATTAAATTGGAACCCGACTTCACCAAAGATCCAAAGTAGAAATCTTTGGAGTCAATTGGACCAACGAAATCAGTGGACAGAACGAAGTGAGTGGATTCCTTGGAGGCGAATAGTGGATCAGTGGAAGACCGTGGAGACTCGTTGGAAGAACATTGGACTGGCTGGAAGTGGAAATCAAGTGCGACTCAAAGCTTCGAGGATCAAGGAGCAAACACGATCGTCAGGAGCCAATTACGCTAGTTCTTTTTCGCTGGTGTTTATTTAATTGTTTTTATTCAATTGTTTGTTGAGATTGTTGTATCCACTGTTAAGTAGGTTGTTCATCTATAATAGTCTGGGGGGATTATTAACCTTTAGAGATTCAGTAACGCGCCTCATAACCAAACAACACTTCCCCCCTTTGGTTAGTGATAAGCACATCAGTCATTCAGTTCCACATAAATCATAATTTGCTGTTTAGATCCTAAATCTTAAATCTTTATCCTACAATTAGTTAGTCAAATGGCGTTGTATATATGTCTCGCGATTCGCTTTTAATATGTTTCGTACTAACAAGATTTAATTACCGATGGTTGAGATCGGAGAAACA